AATGTGATGTTTGTGAAAAGATTGATGGAAATAAAACAAACATTTTTTTTGGATAACTTATTTTGACAATTTTACATATCAATTAAGATGTCATTTGAGTTAAAATTACTATTTGAACGTTGACTGACGATTTCATGGACGAAATACTTGAAATGGACCAACGCTGTAATTATATATAAAGGTTTGGGACTTCAGCCGCAAAAATTAAAGGTTTGGGTGTAATCTGCAACAAAATGAAAGGTTTGGGACCAGCGTTGCAATTTTTTCGAGTCAAAATTACTGTTGAAACGTGAACTAACGATTTTATGGACGGGATTAAAGGCTTGAGACTGATGCTGCAACTACATATAAAGGTTTAGGACTTCAACCGCAAAAATAAAAGGTTTGGGTAATGAAAGGTTTGGGACCACGGTCGCAATTTTCCCTATAATTTTCTAGGATTTTCAGTGATGAGAACTTGCCAATTTCATGAACTGTGTGGAATTGGAAATGCCTTTCTTTACTACTAGACTGATAACTTATTGCATTTTAACTCAAAATAGTAGTCTGATAGTTTCTAATGCATGTTCGTTAGAGCATGTTTGGCAAGTGTTTATAAACAGTTTAAGTTATAAATAGATAGATACAAGTAGGAGATAAGTGGGTAGTACTAGTAGATTTTTTGAGATGTGTGGATAAAAAGTGGTTTTGATGTTTATAAACACGAGCCAAACATAGGCTAGTCAGGCAAACTTAGATGTCTCCGATGCAGGCTACCAAAGAGACTTGTGTTGGGCACTAAAGATTTCTGTTGGTAATTGAATGAGAAGATCAAGAATATGCACCATAATATATGGCATTTATTTATGGATATACTTCAGAAATTTCATTGCGGTCCATACACAACACTATGTACATAGTCTAGGGGTTATACTAGCTGCAATACCTATTCCTTATTATGGTCCAATAGTGCCAATTAATGCTGTTTCTATACGCTAAGGATTTCCAGTATATTGCTCGACTGCATTGCGATTCAAGTCTATTGCTTTTGAACCTGAATCGAACTCTGTCAGGAACTCGGTGTTCAAATCAAAGGTCTCCAATAATCCAAACTTTCTCAATTGTTCACGACTTCTGTGCCCTTCTAAATTTTTACCGGATGGTTGCTCAATAGAATTACCATCATAAATATTACTTCTGTTCCTTTTAATTTTGCTACCTTCACTCTCCGATCCACTTTTTTCTGCCGGATGCATTTCCATCAGTGAGAGCACAAGGGAATCCCTCTTCCTAGTACATCTTTTGGAAGCTTTATTCTCCTCATTGTCATCAAAGCCAAGAATCGGACGAGTTTCTTCCTCTATGCTCGAGCTCTCGGCTGATGTGAAGGAACTCTCAAATGAGCATCCGGTATGTCTTGGAAGTATATTCTTTGCATCTTTTAAAAATAAGCCTTCGCTCTCTGTCAAAACTGATAATGAAGGACTTGGACACCCAGTGTCAACCATCGCGATTAATTGAGAAACATGAGCTTTTGCTTGTTCGACTTCAGTAGAGGAAGAACAATATCCAGCAAGTTTTTCCCGTGCTTTCTTCAGGACTGATTGCAAATACTTTCCTTGTGCTTCAATTCTCAGCTGTAAATGCCTTTGGACCTGGAATATGCACAGACAATAAAATCCTGCCTAATCAGAATATGCCCTTTTCACCGACAATCAAGATTGAGTAAACATAGAATTTAATTCGTCTTCTACCTCAATTTGTTCATGAAGTTTCCTCTGCACCTCCATTTGCACTTGTAGAGCCTGAGCTATCTGTAAACCTCTGATAAAGCACAACCTATATCAGTAAACATTCCTTCATCCTTTCTATTTTATCCAACAATCTAGAAAACTTTATATAAAAACTATTACTCATTAATCCGATTCTGCTCTCCATCACAATCCTTTTTTAATTGACTCTGGTTATCTCTGTAGTCTGCATTGAATGACATTTTCATTAGTTCCCATCATATATTCATACTTATTCATGATATCACATATAATTCAAGAAAATGCTACTTACTTTCTTGTTCATTATCCTCGTAGTAGGATTGCGATTGTTGATTCTTTCCCATCCTATATTTCTGCAACGAAGTACATTTTCCTCGTAAAAAATCCTTCTAAATAAAACGTGCAAGAAAACAGAATGTTGTCATAAGTAACCTTACCTGTAAATGGCTCTTGAGGTGGTACAATGTTAGTCCATCAACGCCCATCACCTTCATTAAGGATTTCGGTGTAGCCTCTACATTGAAGAATCAGAATTAGTTCAGAATATATAGAGACTAAGTTTACACAGATAAATTCGACTGAATCATAAATCTTTACACTCAACTATTTGCACCTCCAAGCTGCTTAACTGCATCGATAAATCTTTCGTGCAATTCTTGATTCCATTTCAATCTCGGTTTCACATCACTGGATGACACCAAGCTCATATCTTTATTACAAACGTTCTGAAGTGCCATTTCTCGTTTTGTATGAGAAGATTGAAGCATAAGAAAAGGTGTTTTTACTTCCTTTGAGGGTTTTTGGCTCAAATATGTGGCAGATGTTATTCTCTTTAATATTGGGGAGTTTTTGGAGTATCCTGTGTTCTCACTCCATATCAGGAAACATAAGTGGGGTTATGTTGGGGGAATATATGCCATGAGCTGTTGCGCCCTTTCTTTTCTACCACTTCCCATTTCATAACCAAACTTTCTTTGTCTAAATTTCCAAGTTTTTTTTTTGAATTGAAGGGGAGGAGAAAATCTTTCTTGCAGCAAAAATTTGAGGCTCAAAAGGAGAGAGAAGAAAAAATGAACATGCAAGGTTGGCCCTAAGATATTCGAGATCTTATGCGACAAATTATTACGAAACACTTAAATATAATTTTCAATAAGCGTATTTATCTTTTAGTATCATTCATATTCTATTCAAATTGATTTTTTTATATTATTTTTGAAAAATTAAATGAGCCCTTTTAAAATAAATAACTTATTTTTAACTTTTATAAAAATTAATGTTTTAATTTTCTTAAAAAAATTATAAGCTTACTAAAAAATTATGGGAGATTTTTTGAAAAAAAATAATAATAAGCTCATTAAGGATGTAAGTGTCCAAGTATTTTGGACATCTTATTTTGTCAATCATATTATTTTAGTCATGTTTTTTAAATAGAATGAATGTCCCAAATCAAAAAAGAAAAGAATTTTTTTTGTCAAATTTTTGTGCTTTTAATTTTTTGAGGTCCCTCAAGAATTAAGGCCCAAGGCAATGGCCTAGATTGCCTTTGGCCAAGACTGGCCCTGCCTACATGATACATGTATTATATAATATACACACACGCTTTAATGACGTTTAGGCTTGACTAATAAAATAGGACTTTTTAATCAGGATGGACATGTTTAGAATCTTATTTATACAATATATAAAAAAGGTCTTTCTTTTCAAATGACAACTACCTCTTCCTGCGAGGGTGTTACATGAAACCACACGACCCCAGCAATGGGGTGGGGAAGGGAGAGTTGGAAGCGAGTTCCCTTCGCTTTATTATTTGTTTAAGATATAGCTTTCGGTGAAATAACACAAGTTTTTGTGTGTTTTTGTGATATTCTAGATGAGCAAGGCAGTCCCCCACCATTTTGTATAATGGCTGCAACTTTTCTAAAACTCTAGAGAGGCTTTGATGGGAAATTTTAATGATTGCAATGCTTTAATGGATATCTATTGTCATGTGATAGAAATGGATAACATAATTAATATTTCTCTCTGAATTTAATTTTTATTTATCATATTTCATTTGTTCTTATTTTCCACTATTTACGAGGCGTGGAGATTAATGGGTAAATTGATTTTTTGTTTTTTTTTCCCCTTTTTGTAGGGATGAAGGAATCAAGACATTCACAGGGTATAAAATAATAGAACTAACTGAGTTGGAACCCGAATTTGTAATTATGTTAATTAAGTCACTTAGTTCAAATTTATTGGCTTGGCTACTGGAGAAAAAAATTCATGATACATGGTCATATTAATTTATATTAAGCATCGTAATTAGGTGGCACACTAAATTACTGAGCAGTTTGTTTGTCACATAAGCATTGCGCTTAACATAAATTAAGCACCGTGCTTAGAAGATCAAATTGGAATACAATAGTTATATTAGGGTCCGTTTGATTGATTAAATTCCATGAAAAATATCACATTCAAAGAATTCAATTTCTACTTTAACTGTTTGATACGAAAGTGGAAATGAGATTCGAATTTCAACGTATAACCACTTTAAACTTGTTTTTTACCAGTTCCATGGAAAATGCATTCCTATGGAGTACTTAGATTTTTATTTTCTGACTTTACATAAAATTGGAAAGTCTTTCTACCTTTGTCAATCAAACGGACCCTTAAATTTTTATTATTTTTCAAGCTTTCGAAGTGACTTGATTGAAACTAAATTACATACAAAGTATTCAAAATGTAACTTAATAAGTTCATAATTGTTATTGCTACACGAGTAACTTGATTGGAACAAGTTGAAATTAAGTATGCCTGATCAAAAGTGTAATTTACTTGCGGCAAGATTCATGCAATTGCATTGAAATTTTCGTCGTTCCGTGTAACAAGGGTTCAAACCATTGACTAGGTCTAGTGGTTAATTTAGAATAATTCAGCCTTCAATAATTATTGCTTTTCCATTGACTGATGTTTTTTGACTTCAAACAATGTTTCACATAGATTAATTAACAATATAAAACAATAAAGAAAATTATATTTATTGTTTGTAATAGAATCTCTCCTTTTCTTTTTTACAATCCCAACATAGAGGAAATGACAAAAAGGTCTACACCAATTCCTTTCCTTTCCTTT